GAATCTGGCTTATGTTTCATTTGTGACTCTCCATTCCGTCCAGGACCAGGATGTGGGGTATTGGTGAACATTATTGACCAACTGACCAACATTGAAGTTCTGAGAGCAAGGCAATTTCAAACTCAATTTTTAAAGGAGTCACCCTATATTGAGGGATTTCATTAACATGAAGCATTTGAATGCTACTTAAGTCATTCTCTTCTCTGTATGGGGAGATTGAGTTGATCAAAACATACAGCTAGTAAATGATAGTGCCAGGATGTGCTGGTACACACAGTTTTGTTTTTTTTTTCTTTACTTGTATAGAGTTTCAAAAGGTTTTGTTCTTATTTACAGCTATAAAGGGAGATTTTGTTTTGAGACCAGAAGACCTAGTAATTTATTGTAAATATTGCCACATTGTTATTTTACACTGTTTCACAGGAGAGACTTTGGGGTCAGTTCTGGTTTCTAATCTCAACTGCCCACTTGTGAACTTTCCAAAAGTCAAGTTACTTTACTCCTTTGAGTCTCGACTTCCTTATTATTAAGGCAAACACCATGAAGATTAAATGAGATACATTCTATAAAGCCCCCACCAAGGGCAAGGCATATAGCCATCAGTTACTAAATGGTAGGCCTTCTGAAGCTCAAATTCTGAAATAACCTTCTATGCAATTCTGATTCGAAGCTTCATGGAACTTATATTCTTGTTGGAGAGTCAAGATACATAAATAAAACATATGTGTACTAGTTGTGTGTACTAAAGAGAAAAAAGAGAGAAGGGAAAGGGGATACAAAATATTAGAAAGAGGTTGAAATTGAATAGGATGAACAGGTAAGACCTCAATAAAAGAGGACTCTTAAGGGGACCTAAAGAAAAAGAAGGGGCTACCTGTGTGGATGTCTACGGGAGGAGCAGTTCAGGCCGTGGGAACAAGTGCAAAGGCCCTGAGGCAGGAGTGTGCATGGGAGGTACAAGGTACAGCATGGAGGATGGCGTGGCTGGAGTAGAATTAATATGGGAGAGAACAGTAGGAAATGCAGTCAGGGAGATAACAGTGGCCAGCTGGTAGATCATGTAGGGTCTTGGAGGTCATAGTAAGGACTTTGGAGGGTTTGAACAGAAGAGCAACATGATCTGACTTGTATTTCTAAAACGATCCCTTTGCCTGCCATGTTGAGAGTAGACAATTAGAAGGGGAGGAGCAGGGGAGGATGGTCAACAAGGGCAGAAAAATGGAGATAGTTAAGAGGCCCGTGTGATAATCCGGTATTACTATGTCCATCTTAATAGGCTAATCATGTTATGTTCTGCTATTGAAATGAGGGGGGTGTTTCTGTGCCCCTGCTGTATTTATATACACTGGGAGGCATGAGAGTCATATCATCCTGGAAGCCATCCATCCTGGTGTTTTACTGTCCTTTAGTAGAGTGTGAGACCTGACAGTCACATTTGTGTATAACTCTATCTGTGCCCTGCTTGGCTGGGAAATTTTCTTGTAAGAGAAAGGAGCACTTTACAAAATGGACACTCTTTGTCAGTTGTCATGCTGGAGTGATCCCTGGTGATTGTCCCTACGGAGAAGTGCTGTTTCATTATGAGAGTTATCGATTCTGACACTATCAGTCAACTAGAAGAAAAGTAGGTTAGTGGGGCTGATGAGCACCATTGAGATGCTTACAAACGGTAGACAGTGCTTCATCCTGCTCCCATAGTGGACGTCATGTGAAAAAGGGAGCCCTTGCTACAGGGCATAGAGAGCTATAGCCTGAAAGCTTTATTTTTCTTTCCTTTAAACCTTTCTGGTTAGGATTTGCTTCTTATTGCCTTCAAGCTTTATACTATAATTCAAGGTTGCCTGAAAAATTATATTTATGTGTATGTAACAGGAAATTGGAGTAATCCTCTAATTTACTAGCTTGAGATTCAAACTCAGACATGTGGCCTTTATACAAACTGCCATGAAATTCTTCAGTGATATTAATTTTAAGTGTGTGTGTGTGTGTGTGTGTGTGTGTGCATCTTAAGGGTAGAGAATATGTGTTATAAATCAAACTTAACAAATGTCACAACTGCAAAAAGGCTGGAAATAATTGATTGACATCAGTATGGCTTAGCTGCTGCTGACTCAAAACCCCTTTGATTGTCTTTAAGGATCTGTGTGAGTTTTGACCCCTTTAACCAGAATCAGATCAAGTATCAATGGTTATAGTGCAATTTAGTATTATAAGACACCAACAACATGCTCAGTTTATAAATTGAGTATATTTGTCAATTTAATTACAAACATTATTTCACATTTTCCTTAGGTGGAAAAGAAACTGGATGATCATTTTATGTGTTTTATGTATTAAGAACATCAAATAAATGTATTGAGATATCTAATTATATGATTTATCTTTCCACATACCTTTATTATTGTTAGTCTTCTTGGTAAAAGAAAAAAAAGTGAGCACGTGTCAGTTCATGACTTTGCTTTTCTAAAGTAATATTTATGTCAGCACCACCTTCATATCCATGATTTTTTTTTTGAGACAGAGTCTCACTCTGTTGTCAGGCTGGAGTGCAGTGGCACAATCTCGGCTCACCGCAGCCTCAGCCTCCCAAGTTCAAGCGATTCTCCTGCCTCAACCTCCCAAGTAGCTGAGACTACAGGTGCACACCATCACGCCCAGCTAATTTTTTTTGTTTTTTAATTTTAGTAGAGACAGAGTTTCACCATTTTGGCCAGGATGGTCTCGATCTCCTGACTTTGTGATCTGCCCGCCTCAGCCTCCCAAAGTGCTGGGGTTCCAGGCATGAGCCACTGTGCCTGGCCCATATCCACGATATTTAACAGTCATAGACACTTTCACATTTATCATCTTATTAGGTCTTAAGAGCACCTCTGTGGATGCACAAAGGTAGGCTGGGTAGCCCCATTTTACAGCAAAGGAAACATCAGAGTTTAGGAAGAGACTCAGGTCTTTGGATTCTTAGTCTGGGGCCCTATCGCCCATATCAAACTATTTTCATTAGCTCTTACATAGTCTTTTTCAGATTTATAGAGCTCCAGTGGTTGTAGAATAAATACAGATTTTTGCAGCAAGATGAATGCAGTTGCAATAAACAGTGATGACAGTGTTCTTGTGTTTGAATTTTTTTTCTTTTTTTTGAGACAGAATTTTGCTCTTGTTTCCCAGGCTGGGGTGCAGTGGTGCAATCTCGGCTCACTGCAACCTCTGCCTCCTGGGTTCAAGCAGTTCTCCTGCCTCAGCCTCCCCGGTAGCTGGGATTACAGGTATGCGCCAGCATGTCCAGCTAATTTTGTATTTTTAGTAGAGACAGGTTTTCTCCATGTTGGTCAGGCTGGTCTCTAACTCCCGACCTCAGGTGATCCGCCCGCCTCGGCCTCCCAGGGTGCTGGGATTACAGGCGTGAGCCACCGTGCCTGGCCTGAAATTTCTAACCAATGCATTTCTTTATATTTCTCATCTGTGTCCTCTTAGAGACTTGCATTAAATCCAGAAAGATTAAAACATGCCTTGTAAAGTTAGATGAAACATAATGTTAAATGAAATAAATAGGTCACAAAAGAGAACAGACAGTGTGATTCCCTTTACAGGAAGTTCAAATATAGGCAAAACCAAGCTGTGGTATTAGAAGCTGGGATAACAGTTACCCTCGTTTGGGGATATGTGGTTGGGGTAGGAGGTGTATTGAACTGGGTGCTGGTTGTACAGGTATTCCCTTTGGGAAGGTTCACTGACTTTTTATTTTCCAGTAAAATTCTTTCTAAAAGCTTTACTTTCATAAGTGGTAATTCCGTTTAAATGCTTCAGACTTAAAGAGCAGTTCTTACACATTTATTTTTTATTATAAGCTGTTATTTCCCCCAGAAAAGTCGATTACCCTTTTTTGTTGTGTTCCTAAGCACCCTGCACTCATTCGGCCTTCTTGGAGCATCTTAGTCACAGAACCAGCTGCCATGGAGCCAGGTTGAAGTCCATCATAAAATGCTTGCCAACACAACTTTCTTGATTACAGTTTTTAAGGTGTTATGGGAAAGAAAGGTATTGAAGAAGGGCTCTTCAGTGAGGATGTTAATCTGTATCAAAACAGACAATGCTAGAAATGTTTTCATAGAATTTTGATATGGCTCAGAGCAGAGCTTTAGTCAACTCCTTATAATTTAACAATTTCACACTGATTTTTTCCCATATAAGTGGCTTCACAAGAGCACAAATAGTTGAACAACAATAGCTCTATCATTTTTGAAATGTCCTTGAAGTCAGAGCCTAAAGGAAATAAGATTGAGGCTAGAAATTACTTTGAGCAAAACTAAATTTTAATAAAAATGGAAACTGATGGCCACAGCCATGTTGTTTTTCTCCAGGCTTCTAACGTTAAACTAAACCCATGAGCTTTCTTTCCTTCTTTCTTTTAAAAAACTTTTTTTGAGACAGAGTCTCACTCTGTTGCCCAGGCTGGAGTGCAGTGGCACGATCTTGGCTCACTGCAACCTCTGCCTCTTGGGTTCAAGCGATCCTCCTGCCTCAACGTCCCAAGTAGCTGGGATTACAGGTGCTTACCACCACCCCTGACTAATTTTTTTATTTTTAGTAGGGACGGGGTTTCACCATGTTGGCCAGCTGGTCTTGAATGACTGACCTCAAGTGATCCACCCACCTCTGCCTCCCAAAGTGCTGGGATTACAGGCGTGAGCCACCGTGCCACCCATTTCATGAACTTTCTGACCACAGTAGATAGAGGGAAAGCAGAAAGGACTTCAAAGATTTTGTGGGTCAACAGAACCTTTTGCAGTCCTCACAGTTTACAGACTAAGGCCGGTGTGAATCATGAGTATTACAGGTCAGACTCAAGAGACTGAGCAAACCATTGCCTCTTTTCCTAAAAGTGACCAATTGTTTTGGCTTCTTTTAAACCAATCTAATTTTTTTAAAAATAAGAAACATATTTTAAAATGTTTCTGCCAGCTCTTTATACACTGTGGCGGCTGCTTCTTTTTTCTCTGCAGTGTTCTCTCTCTTCGTCAGAAGAAGAAAGATTTATTTCCATCAGGAGACCTAAAACACCAACCTCAAGTGACTTCTCCGACCTTAATACTCAGACGAACTGGACCAAGTCGCTTCCACTGCCAACACCAGAAGAGAAGATGCGACAGCAAGCCCAAACAGTCCAGGCTGATGTGGTGCCTATTAACATAACTGGTACGCTTTGCTAGCCAGACAGGTTCAGAATGTACTTGGGAGAATGACTACAGCTTTTTGATATACGCTGTTAGCATTTCATTGTTGTATCAAAGGTGAATAGCTGTGGTCCAACTTCATGCTCTTTGTTTAATGAAAGGAATATTGAAACTACATATATGTGTGCATATGAAATATCTATTGCTTGTTGGGTCAGAAGACTATGTCGCCAAACACTGGTGTCAAAGAACTCAGTGGTCCAACCATTCATCTTAAGAGTGTCTCTTTTAATTAAATTGCTTTTTAGTAAGCCTTTGGTTATATAGAAACATCTTGTAAATGTGGTCCTAGGTATGAAGAAAAAGTATATATTTCCCTTCTAAAGGGTTAAGTAATATTTACAGAAGTAAAGAAATAATTATTTTGTGATGTTTCTAATGATGGATTTTCTAGAAATTTCCTAAAGTAGAAAAAATGAGACATTACTTATTCAAAATTTCTTCTGAATATAAAATTTTCAGAATATGTTATATTAAGCTAGACTACAAATATTAATTGCCAAACCTGAAATTCAAGTTCTTATGGAATATTATACTCAGCCTGTAATCATTTGTGACAATTAAGGTGACAACAAGGTACATACAATTCAAAGATAATCTTTCATGAACTTAGGAGAGCTGCTAAAAAGATAGCAGAATCAGCTGGGCACGGTGGCTCACACCTGTAATCCCAGCACTTTGGGAGGCTGAGGTGGGCAGATCACCTGAGTTCAGGAGTTCGAGACCAGCCTGGCCAACATGGTGAAACCCTGTCTCTACTAAAAATACAAAATTAGCAGGGCATGGTGGCACGTGCCTGTAATCCCAGCTACTCTGGAGTCTGAGGCAGGAGAATTGCTTGAACCCAGGAGGCAGAGGTTTCAGTGAGCCAAGAGATTGCACCATTGCATTCCAACCTGGGCAAAAAGGAACAAAACTTCACCTCAAAAAAAAAAGAATCAAAATTTTCCTGCTTTATCACCTCCATAGCCCACAAGGAGCATGGGTTAATGGTTTGGGGAGGGCACAAAGTGAAAATAGACATGTGAAGAGTTAACAGCTTCAACTATTAATTGAATTGTATGTTCGATGGAAATAGATGACTAATAGTGGTCATTGATAATCAGTTCATACAAAGCAGGGCCCTTAAGGCCAGAAGCTGACAAAAAAACTAGGTGACCAAAAAGAATGAGTTTTCCTGAACATTTACTCTGGAAACCCATAGCATCCTTGCTGTGCTTCTGAGGCTACTGCTGTTGGAAAGCTTTAGAAAGCTTTTTGCCATGGCATTGGTGAGCTTGTAAGGGGCTAATAGCATCCTCATAGTCACTGAAGATTTTTTTTAAAACCTTACCGGGTATTTAGAAATTACATTTAGAACTCATATTTTAAATTCCATTGAAATTTAATAAATAAGTACATGAATTATTTTTAGTTCAGTATATATTTTTCCACATTTATTTTACTTAAATCTTAAAAGAATAGCAGGACATTTTAAGCCATTTTCTCAGCAAACAATGTTATTGATCTTTCTGAATATGCTTCTTATTTACCTAGATAATATTTTTTAAAGATTATTTTTAAAAGTATAATTATGTTTTAGAACAAAGTATAATGTTTACTGGTCAATGAAATACATGGCTGCTTTTTTCTATAAGAAAATGAATTACACTATTTGATTGATTAAATGCAGCAGAAATGTAATTACATTATATATAATTAAGTGCCTATGAAATAATATTATAAGATAAGAAGATTGTGCAATGAAATATGACAATCCTTAATAGAATTAAGGTGAAATGCATTATCTTGAGATTAAGAGACTTAAAATAGAGTTTCAGAAATGAAGAATTACTTCCAATGAATTACATTGTCACAACAGAAGACAGTGTCATGTCTCTGAGCTTTAATTCTATCCTATCTGATGACTAAGTAGAGATGAATTAGAGTTTAAAGAGAGGCCTTTAAAATGCTACGCAGGAAAGGTGAATGACAATAAACAAAGAGCAATATGAGTTATGTCAAAATGTAATTTACTTTTAATCAAATGATTAACATTTTGCAGAAATGCCAAAAGTAAATATAATACCTAATCACATATTGATCCATTTCTACATCTGTGTGTTCACATATATACACACATATTTCTTAAAGAATTATTTTTCTAATCTGTTATAAAGAAACAATACATTTAAAATTTTCACTTTTAGTGGTTGAATTGACATAGGTTATACAGCTTCCTGCTCTTCAAATTATATATTTCTAAAGTCCTAGAAGATATTTGAGATTAAAAAAATAATTCCTCTAGGGAACTGTCTTGTGCTTATTCGTTGGGGTGAGCATTGAGCCTCTAGTTTGATTTTCCTAGTAAGGCTCAGCAGGAAAAAAAAAGTGGCAATAAATACATCATTTCAAATCCAGAGTTCAGCCCACCACACATAGAGGTAGGATGTTAGCACCATGAGCTGCTGACTTGAAAACTGATTTAATCCCTTTAGTTATAGTCTTGTGGGCACTCAGCATGTTCTAAAACTTGAAGAGGAAAAAATATTTAAATTAATATGTACATATAAATATGTTCTATAATCTGCTATGTGGGATAACAACTCTTCCACCTGGAAGATAAGTGTATTGGATAAACATACTTAAAGAATGTTTACAAACTGGCTTTATACTGGTGTTTGAGCTATCCAAGTTTATTTCTTTTTTTTTGTTTTAAATTTAACATAGTTTAATTGAGCAATGAACAATTTGTTAATCGGGCAGCCTCCAGAGCCAGAGTATGCCCAGAGACTTTCAAGTATATTTCTAAATAGTAATCATGACTGATGAATGCCATTTTTCAATTAAAGGCAGTGATTAAATTCAACAGATATTTATTGAATAACTGCTTTGTGCCAGGCATTAGCTGAGTGCCATGGGGGATGCTAAAGTACATGCATCACAGTCTGTACCCTCAAAAAATGTATAATCCAGCAGAAGATACAGATTTTTTTTAGGTCATGATGCAAGATCAAGCATTTGGTGCCTTCAATGACATGTGTCTTAGATGTTCATCCTCAGATGGTTTGTTTCTTAATTTTCTTGGAGCTTGGGTGATTTTATCTTTTGTCTAGGAAGCAAAACTGGAGACTAAGTGCAACTTTCTTTTAATTTTTTTTTTTTTGGAGATGGAGGTCTCACTCTGTCGCCCATACTGGCATGCAGTGGCGCAATCTCGGCTCACTGCAACCTCCGCCTCCCAGGCTCAAGCGATCCTCCCACCTCAGCCTCCTGAGTAGGTGGGACTACAGGCACATACCACCACACCCAGATACCTGTTTTGTATTTTTGGTAGAGAGAGGTTTCACCATGTCGCTTAGGCTGGTCTTGAACCCCTGAGTTCAAGTGATTCACCCACCTCAGCCCTCCAACGTGCTGGGATTATAGGTATGGGCCACCACACTGGCCTAAGTGCAACTTTCTGTTAATGTTTTGTCTGTTCTTAATGTCTTGATACAAGGAAGTTTTTTCTGCTGTAGGGAATTAATGAAGCACTGCGTTGTGACTTGCCTCTCACATGCACCATTTATGCCATTGCACTTAGTGACCCAGTTTTTTGCAGCATTGGCACCTTCTGGTATTTAAGGGTTTTCTCTCAGTCATTTCTGTTTTTCTCCATTAGTGACAAGGTTGTAAGCATTTGTAAGTTTGCAAGCATTTACATAAGTTTGTTCCTCAGCAGGGGAAATGTGTTTTGATCATTCAGATGTTTTATTCTCCTTTTCATTAGATAAGGTTCCCAATTTTTTCTTACCAAAATAGAAGTTACATTGTCCACAACATACCTACATTGAATGTGTGTCAGTAATGCTAAGAGTGAACGTTTTTATACTTTTATGCATAAAATGATGGAAGTTTGTAATGTGTATGTGTATATATATGTATATTTAAAAATAACTTTTTGAGGAGAATAACCATGCAAAAAGGTCAGTGCTGTAAGACTTTAAACTGCCAGGTAATTTAAAATAGACCAATCAGTAACAGATGCTGTTATATACTTTATTATTGTATGGTTTCTCATGATGTGTTAATCAAACACACCGATACTCTAGAGGGAAAAAAAGAAGTCCTATGATGTGGCATTCCAGGTTTGATTGCAAAATCACCTGAAATGTCTGAATTAAGATCAACTTTGAAAAGTAATTATGAAATAGAAGCAGTTCACCTTTAACAACAGCAGTGCTACTGGGTCTCATTGTGGTAAAAGTACTTTATCATGATAAGGCGTTTCATTTTTCACTACAGTTGTATGTCACACCACAGCAATTACCACAGTCTATCCAAATTGTCAGCCTCCTTGATTGAAGAAAAAGCTTTTCATTCAAGAAATCTTTATTAAGTTACTTATTTCATCACATAAAGCAAGACATTAGTGTTGATCTCTGCAAGATGACCATATGAATGAAACATACTCATTCCGTCGCCACCTACACGCTAATGTAGAGTGGAGTGGTTTTGGTGACCACAGCATATATATGAAATACTTCCAAAATTTTGTTTTGTTAAATAACACAGAATAACTCTTCCAGTGTGTTATTAAATTTGCATTTGCTACTCCAGCTCATTTGAAAATGAGATCAAGGTACTTCCTTTGGAAGGTAGAACTTGGAAAACAGCCTTACTGTGATAATGTGCTTTCCTTCCTTTTTTGCCCTTCAGCATTCATCATCATATGACTGGCTAACATTATTAATACCTTCTTATCATTTTACAACAAGCTTCTGGAATAAAGTGCATGGTGTCAGCTTGCTTGAAAATAACATTGCTTTGCTTGTTCTACTACTCTACATTAGGGGAGAATTTCGATCGCCAGGCCAGCCTTCGGCGGTCTCTAATTTACACAGACTCTCTGGTAAGACGACCGAAGAAAGTCAAAAGGAGAAAGACTATTACAGGAGTCCCTGACAACATACAGAAGGAGCTAGGTATGGCTCATCAGAACTGTATTCTGTTGCCCCTCACTGCCACTCAGCCTTACTGCGCTAACCTCATTTGTGGTGCTTATAGAATCGATACATTCTGATAGCCGTTTGGTGCCCCAACGGGCCAGCTTCCTTCCTGAATGAGGCATTAGGTGCAGATCTTAACATCCCATGGAGAGAGATAGTTGATTGAATTTTGGGGAGAAGGTACAAGGAGAGGGAAGATCTTACATGAAAACGATTAACTGGGAAGATAGAAATTCATAGTTACCTCATCATCGCTATGTGACATGGAGCTTTGGTTATTCCCACAATTAAATTTACTTGTCATTTATAGCTTAAGTTTTCATGAAACAGACAAGTCATTCTAGGACATCAAATTATGAATATGGACTTCACTATAACTATAATGACACTACTGGTGGCATTTTGTCATCAGAAACTACAGTCTGGGATTATTGGTAAATATAGGAAATAGTCATTTATGTTTGATAGTGCCTTTATTACTTTCAGTGAAACAATTTCATAGCTTCTTCATTCTTAATCCTTTATGTTCAACCTGTGATGAAAACAAAAAAAAAAATGTTTTGGCTGGTGAAGAGGATTGTTTAATTACTTATCCATTTTGTTTCTGGTTATCTTTATAAATGCTTTGGATAATCCTTTCATTTTCTTTCTAGATTAACTTCCTCTCACTGTTTTCTAATAGGGCCCATAATACCAGAATGTCTGCAGAGGTACCATAGCATAGCTCCTGGGTTAGGACTAAGGACTCCAGTGCCAACCGGCTTGGTTGAACCCTAACTCTGCCACTTGTTCTCCGGGTGACCTCAGTTAACTTCATCTCTCTGAGTCTACTTCCTCATTTAACAAATGGGCTTGGTGATGTTAATAAAACCTACCTCTTAGGGTTGTTTGAGGACAATTTATGCATGTGAGGCCCTTGGTACTTGGTTAGTACCTGGTACTACCATAAACATAATAGCTACTGTGGTCATTACTATAGTAAACTTAATACTATCTGTCTTGAAATGTGTCCTTTCCTCTTTGGCCAACCTGTGGACTCATTTCCTAATAGTTACTTTCACCTGATGTTTTTATTTACTCCCAAGTTATACTCTAGAAACTCAGAGTCATTATTTCTAAAGTTTGCAGTTAGTCTTTTAGTCAAAATGAGTATAACCAGTAATAGTGATGTATCTGTGATAGCACCTTGAGGTTGCACGTCAGCTTCTGGGTGCTGTGCTACAGACAGTGTGCTTCTCTGTTTGTTTTCCCAAACACCCCTGATTGAATGCCTTGTATTAGAGAGCACAGACTCACTTTTCTTTAGCTGGCATTTTCTCCTTTATGGCCATCCACTTTTATAGTGCATATTCTCCGCCTTCTATGCTGTAGCAAAAGTCAGATGAGAATGGCAATGTTCTGCCTTTGCTGCCGGCAGCCACAGTGACCCAGATGGTATACAGGTGTTCGCCCTATTCTATCATGGATTGGTTTATTGCAAACAAAGGCAAGACTGCAGCTGCTCCCGGGGGATTGTGAAGTCTGTCTTTGGTTCGTGCCCTACATGCTGCTGCTATTATTGGCCTGGTTCCTGTGTGGCTACCGGTCTCTAGGCACCTTCCCTCAACCTACCTTAAGGACACCTGTGTGCTTTCTCTCTCTCCTCTCAGTTTATGCCTTATTCTTTCAGACTCTTTTTTCCATTCTTGAAGTGACAGCTAACTAATTTGGAAACTAATCTGTACTTATATGTTCAGTAGATAGTTTATGGAGTAATTTCCTAAAGCACTCCAGCAACATTTATACTTTTTTTTTTTTTTTTTTTTGAGACAGAGTCTGGCTCTGTCACCCAGGCTGGAGTGCAGTGGCCGGATCTCAGCTCACTGCAAGCTCCGCCTCCCGGGTTTACGCCATTCTCCTGCCTCAGCCTCCCGAGTAGCTGGGACTACAGGCACCCGCCACCTCGCCCGGCTAGTTTTTTGTATTTTTAGTAGAGACGCGGTTTCACCGTGTTCGCCAGGATGGTCTCGATCTCCTGACCTCGTGATCCGCCCGTCTCGGCCTCCCAAAGTGCTGGGATTACAGGCTTGAGCCACCGCGCCCGGCCACATTTATACTTTTAACTGGTCCTTTTAGGAGATGTGCCTTCAAGGAGTGACTTTAAAGACAGGCATTTAGGCCCTTCGTAAGATCAGAAGGATACTGTGGTCCAAATAAAGATGCGGATACATATAAGTATTCCATATGCATTGTCTGTGTGTGTATGTCATATGACATCTAGAATGAGAGTTCGAATTTTTATCACTTTCATTCCTGAACTAACCAGTATGGAAGCCAATAGCTCAGTTGTTTCTTTGATCTTACTAGAATGATCGGGCAAGCTAGATAAACCATCTCTTTTGTAATTTTAGTATTTTTTAAATCACTGATTAAAATCCCTGGAATCCACGTTCATTGCTTTTACATGTGACATGGAACTGCCACTAATGCTGGAGGGAAGAAAATAGCTTTCCCCACATTGTCTGGGTTGTGACTGTTGCCAGACACGAGACAGTCAATATCATTGCGGTCGATGACATGACCTGGATTAGAACTGGAGGTCAACTGAGACAACTGTATCGAAGAGCTAGTTTAAAAAAAAAAAAAGATAATTAGACAAGGACTCTAGTTTTATACATAGGCTAGTTGGAGGATTACTGGATAGAATGAGGAGTTAACGTTTATATACAGTTTTATTTAGCAAAAATATTGGATTACATATTTATTTGTTCTGTCCTTTCAGGACTTCTGGTTGATCTTGCCTTTTTTCCCAGTATTTTACACTTATAAGGACTCTGGTTTGGAAGTCTTAAACTACCAAGGTTTCTTTAAAAAAACTTAAAAAATAAAATAAAAACTTTAAAAACTACCAAGGTTTTTTTTAACCAAGATTATCAAATCATACGTAGGTAATGATGATCAAAAATAGACACTTCATATTTTCTTTAAAATTAGTCTTCTTCTAGATATACAGGGGAAGTGTAACAAACAAATTAGACAAAAAGAAAATGATGGCCCAACGGAAAGGCATTCACTAGGAAAGATGCACCCTGTCCAAAAGGCATTGCCCAAGTTGCCTGGGAGTTTGGATTTTTAAAAAAATCTAACCATAGAGAGGACTTCCATGAATTAGAAAGATGTATTATGCTAAATTATATGCAGTTTTTATTTCAAAATCCATAAATAATAGACTATTATTAATAGTAATAAAATGGAGACTAGCCAATATGTAACGCTTTAAAATCAAGGTATGATATTTAATGCTTACTTCCAAAACTTACCTGATAAACTAAAATTTGTTGCCTTTCGTTTCAGTGAATTGGACATTTTGAATTTTTTCTTTTATCCTAAATCTGTACAAAAATGTATCTGAACATCGTATTATGAGGTTTCATCTTTTAGAATCAGATAGGATTATTTTGTTGATATATATATTACACTTGGCTACTGAACCTATCCCCATACATATTCTCTAAGCAGAAAAGGCCTCATCTAAAGGAATCCCTTTATGAATAATTTTTGGTAGTTTATACTAAGAAACTATCTACTTGACAAGACTTTTTAAAAACTCATAGCCTACACCTTAAATAAACTGACTTGTAAATCCTCAGCATCGTTAATTACATATATTTTTTAGAAATTCAAAATATTATTAATAAATAAAAGAAAAAGTATAAATAATTATTTCTGTACATTACATCTTAAAATCAGATAAATCCCATCAAGTTTGAGCAGCACCTAAGTGGTCTACACTTGTTTGTAGTTGTCTTTTTGTAGTTTGTTCTGTCTAAAGACATACCTCAGGGATATTGCAGCTATAGTTCCAGACCACTACAATAAAGTGAATATTGTAATACAGCAAGTCACATGAATTTTTTGGTTTTCCAGCACCTATAAAAGTTATGTTTACACTGTGCTGTGATCTGCTAAGTATGCAATAGCATTATGTTAAAAAAAAAAACAAAAAGGTACAGTGTAAAAATACCTGATTACTAAAAAATACTAAGGATGATCTGAGCCTACAGACAGTTGTAATCTTCTTGCTGGTGAAGGTTCTTGCCTCGTTGTCGATGGCTACTGACTGATTAGGGTGGTGGTTGCTGAAGGTAAGAATGACTGTGGCAATTTCCTAAAATAAGACAACAGTGACATTTGCCACATTGACAGATCCTTCCTTTCTTGAAAGATTTCTCTGTAGCACGTAATACTGTTTAGTAACATTTTACCAACAGTAGAACTACTCTCAAAATTTGAGTCAGTCTCTCAAACCCTGCTGCTGCTTTATCAACTAAGTTTATATAATATTCTGAATCCTTTGTTGTCATTTTAACAATGTTCACAGCATCTTCACTAGTAGAGTCCATCTCAGGAAAGCATTTTCATTGCTCGTCTGTAAGAAGCAATGCCTCGTTGTTCAAGTTTGATCATGAGATTGCAGCAATTCAGCCACATCTTCAGGCTCCACTTCTAATTCTAGTTCCTTGCTGTTTCTACCACATCTGGAGTCACTTCCTTCACTTCAGTCTCGATCCTCTCAAAGTTATCTACGAGAGCTGGAATCAGTTTCTTCCAGACTGTTACTAATGTTGATATTTTGACCTTCTCCCATGAATTAAAATTGTTCTTACTGTGCTAGAGTGGTGAATCCTTTTCAGGTTTCCAACTTAACTCAGATCTATCAGAGGAATCACTGTCTATGGCAGCTTTGGTCTTACAAAGTGCATTACAAAATTATGACTTGAAAGTCAAAATTACTGTTTAAGCCATGGGCTGCAGAATGAATGTTGTGTTAGCAGGCATGAAAACATTTATGTCTTTGTACATCTTCATCAGAGCTCTGGGGTGATTAGGTGCATTGTATTTGTGTGTGTGTGTGTGTGTGTGTGTGTATGTATGTATGTATATGTAATTTTTTGTTTTGAGACGGAGTTTCACTCTTGTTGCCCAGGGTGGAGTGCAGTGGTGTGATCTCAGCTCACTGCAATCTCCGCCTCCTGGGTTCAAGCAATTCTCCTGCCTCGGCCTCCCGAGTAGCTGTGATTACAGGCATGCGCCGCCACACCTGGCTAATTTTTTTGTATTTTTAGTAGAGACAGGGTTTCTTTATGTTGTTCAGGCTGGTCTCGAACTCCTGACCTCAGGTGATCTGCCCACCTTGGCCTTTCAAAGCGCTGGGATTACAGGCGTGAGCCACTGCCCCCAGCCTAGCTGCACTGTAAATGAAAGAAATCTTTTTTTTTCTGAGCAGTAGATCTCAACTGTGGACTTAAAAGTATTCAATAAATCATGCTGTAAGCTGACATGCTGTCATCCAGGCTTTGTTGTTCCATTTATAGAGCACAGGCAGATTCTGTTTAGCATAATTCTTAAGGACTCTAGGATTTCCAGAATGGTAAAGAAACATTGGCTTCAACTTCAAGTCACCAGCGACTTTGGCTCTAACAAGAGTCAGTTTGTCCTTTGAAGCTTTGAAGACAGGCATTGACTCCTCCTCTTGTAGCTTTGAAAGTCCTAGATGATTAGAAGGTCGTTTCATCTACATTGAAAACCTGTTGTCGAGTATAACCACCTTCATCAACTAACCTAGCTAGATCTTCTAGATAAATTTCTGCAGCTTTTCCGTCAGCATTTGCTGCTTCACTTTTATGTTGTAGAAATGGCTCCTTTCCTTCAACCTCATGAAACAACCTGTGCTAGCTTCCAGCTCTTCTTCTATAGCTTCCTCACCTCTCTCAGCTTTCACAGGATCGAAGAGTTAGGGCCTTGCTCTGGATTAGGCTTTGGCTTAAGGGAAATGTTGTGGCTGGTTTGATTTTCTGTCCAGACCATTAAAACTTTCTCCATATCAGCAATAAAGCTGTTTTTTTATTTGTGTATGCACTGGAGTAGCACTTTTTATTTCCTTCAAGAACTTTTCCTTTGCAATCACAGCTCGGTTAACTGTTTGGCACAAGAGGCCTAGCTTTTGGCCTGTCTTAGCTTTTGACATGCCTTCCTCGCTAGGCTTAATCATTTCTAACTTTTGATTTAAAGTGAGAGACATGCAACTCTTCCTTTCGCCTGAACCCTTAGAGGCCATTGTAGGGCTATTAATGACCTAATTTCATTATTGTTGTATCTCAGGGAATAGAGAAGCCCAAGAAGAGGGAGAGAAGCTGGGAAACAGCTGGTCAGTGGAGCAGTCAGAACACACACAATATTTATCAATCACATTTGCTGTCTTATGTGGGTGTGATTTGTGGCACCCCAAAACAATTACAATAGTAATATCAAAGATCACTGGTCACAGATCACCATAACAGATCTAACAATAATGAAAAAGTTTGAGATATTACAAGAATAACCGAAACATGACACAGAGACACACAGTAAGCACATGTTAGAAAAATGGCGTCAGTAGACTTGCTCAACACGGGGTTGCCACAAACCTTCGATCTGTTAAAAAAAAAAAAAACCACAATTATCTGCAATGCACAATAAAGCTAAGCACAGTAAAATGACATATGCCTCTGTAGCATTCATCTGTTTCCTATCATATTCTGAAACTTTTTATACTGTGAAAATATTGGAGGGTCTGTTTTGGGAATAGAATTTTGGTGGTCCTTGTGATAAGATATATTAGTTTTTCATATGCTTTTTAAGGTCTTTAGGAAATGTTTTTATTTTAATAAGAAAGTTATACTTAGCTGTAGAGGGTGATAAAATAGCTATATTTCTATTTTTTTTTTACATGCCTAGAATGGTTTCACATTTAAAACTGTTACCCAAAAGTATCAGGATTTTGTTTATGCTACTTGAAAGACAGTTAAAAATCTACCACTAACTCCATGCAAAAACTAGTACGGTTTTGAAAGAAAAAAATGTATTCATATAAGGTCAACTCCAAACATTCAAAACTCATTGTTGAATGGAATTAGGTATTTTGAGTGTTTGGAATTGAACTTGTATGCACTGATAACCAATACCAGTCAACCGCCCATCTTCTAAATTACTAAATGGCAAAACTTTGCACCTCCTCAAAGTGGGTTTTTCTTCTGTCCTGCCCTTTTGCCCACTTTCCCTGTCTGTGTGGGACAGCCTTATGTGTGTGTGTGTGTGTGTCTGTGTGTCTGTCTTTAGCGAGTGGGTACTTGAAAGAGGGTAGAGAGAGGAAATAGATCCTCTTTGCTAAAAATACAAGTATAAAATTTCCTCTCCATCATCACTGTGAAGAAGAAGGCTTTATGCCAGGATCCTTCCTTCCAGGGTGCCATGTCTTTTGAAGTTGATACAAGCACATTGCTGCCATTTCAGTACTACCCGCTGCTATCTGAGTGAGCAAAAGGCATTCTCTATCCAGTCCATGCCCTGGTTAGATTATGTGTTGGGAGAGGGAAGCCTTAGGAACCCTATCACCCCTAGGGTCACATCCAGGTGTTCACTGACACAGAGGGGTGTACTTGACTCATGTTGCTCAGCAAAGCCCGTGTTGAGATAGATAGATACTCTTGGGTCCTTGTTGGATGGAGATAACATAGGGAGAACCATAGTTTTACTACTATTTTTAGAGATTTGATTTGTCGTAAGGATTAACTTTTTTTTTTCTCAGTACACTTTGGGTAGGTTCTTTGTGATTTATTTATTTATTTATTTATTTATTTATTTTTTTCCTCATAAGCTCTGTTCTTTCCTGGGTAGCTTGAAATCTAACTGTTTACACTTAAGGTTTACCTCATCCATGTCCCTCTCTGTTGGCCCTTCCTTGTGTTTCTTTTTTTTTTTAAACATACTATTCTCTATTTGGTTGTAAAACTCCAACGAATAAATCATCCTAATTTGAGGAAATGTTCACTGGATCAGTTCCTGCCGGTTTCCCCCACCAGAACACAACAGATTGCTATTGAATTTTGAATGTCACCAACAGACAGATAATGACTTCAGATGGATAATGAAATGTTTGGAACACAGATGGGCCTGTAAATCAGTTTTCTTTGCCTTAGAATTTCCTTCTGACATAAAGAATTAATGTAATTAACACTGTTTTATACCAGTACCCCTCAAACATGGTATCTCTGTGGCCCTATTGTTCAATTACTACATTCATCTGCCTTTGGGAAAGGTGTGTCACTGCTTGATAGATGGTCTGCACAGTCACCCAGTGGGCGAAAGGCTACCTTGAAGACTTTACTGAAAGGTAGTTATTTCAAAGTAAATCCTCCTCTGAGCCCTCAGCAGCCTTGATCTTGAAGGGATCACCTGAGAATTCCATATGCGGCACTCAGGCCATAGGAGGATTGGAGGTACAAATTAAGAGAAGTACCTGAAATTCATGACAAGAATTTTTATTTTAGAGCTATCAGTAACTTTTTAAATGTACTTAGGTACCTACAGGAGAAAGGACATTAAATCAAATAGAAAATTTTTTTAAAAATTCTGTCAGAGGGGGTGAGGGTATAGGTGATGAACGATGGATTTTATTTTCAGGTAACAAGCCTCTTTCTGCTTTATCTTCAGCATCAGGCACTGGCCAAGATGATGTCGATGGTCACTCAGTGCACACCCCTGATCACTACTCTGCGCTGGGAAGGTTCGATAGCTATCGGTCTGCTGGGCAGCGCTCAGAAACCAGGGACTCCAGCTGTCAGACGGAGGAGGTGAAGGTCGTACCACCTTCCATGAGGAGAATCAGGGCACAGAAGGGGCAAGGCATTGCTGCCCAGATGGGCCACTTCTCAGGTTCTTCTGGCAACATGTCTGTGCTGAGCGATTCTGCGGGGATCATATTCCCTTCCCGCCTCAACAATGATGCTGGCTTCCATAGTCTTCCGCGTTCTGGAGCGAGGGCAAACATTCAGTCTCTTGAGCCGAGGCTGGGTGCCCTGGGCCCTGCAGGAGACATGGATGGCACATTCCTCTACCAGGGAGGTCACCCACAAGCAGATGAAAACTTAGGCCATTTAGGAGGCGCCTCAGAGACTGGAACACTTTTGAGACCCAAATCCCAAGAGCTGAGACACTTTGAGAGTGAAAATGTAATGAGCCCAGCATGTGTGGTTTCTCCTCATGCAGCCTACTCCACCAGCATCATCCCAAATGCCACACTGTCTTCCTCTTCCGAGGTCATCGCTATTCACACTGCTCAGAGTGCAGGGCAGCGGGAAAGTAGAAGTTCTGGCTCATCACATGCAAGGATAAAACCCAGAGACCACCTCATCTCCAGGCACACTGTGAAAGATGATCATCAGTCTCCCGGTCGCCACTGGAATGAGGGTCACACCACCATTCTTTCACAGGCCTTAGACCCTCATTCCCCTGGTGCACCCACACTGTTGTCCCTCTGTGACTCGGCAGTCTCTCTAAATGCTCCAGCAAATAGGGAGAATGTGTCCCAAGCCATGCCGTATAATTGTAGAAACAACCTGGCCTTCCCAGCCCACTCCCAAGATGTGGATGGCAAGAGTGAATCTAGTTATTCAGGGGGTGGAGGGCACAGCAGCTCGGAGCCCTGGGAATACAAGTCCTCAGGTAATGGAAGGGCATCCCCCATGAAGCCGCATGTAGCAACTCCTGGCTACTCCACTCCCACAAGTAACATGAGCAGCTGCAGTTTGGACCAAACGTCCAACAAAGAGGATGCTGGGTCACTGTATTCTGAGGACCACGATGGCTACTGCACATCTGTGCACACTGACTCTGGACATGGATCTGGGAATCTGTGCAATAGCAGTGATGGCTTTGGGAACCCCAGGCACAGCGTGGTCAATGTTTTTGATGGAAGAGCTCAGAAAAACCAAGGGGACCGGTCCAATTACCAGGATAAATCCTTATCGAGAAACATCTCTTTGAAGAAAGCAAAGAAGCCTCCCCTGCCACCCTCCCGGACAGACTCCCTCCGCAGGATTCCCAAGAAGAGTGGCCAGTCCAACGGGCAGGTGCTCAATGAGAGCCTGATCGCCACACTCCAGCACTCGCTGCAGCTGAGCCTCCCAGGCAAGGGTGGCAGCTCGCCCTCCCAGAGCCCCTGCAGTGACTTGGAAGAGCCCTGGCTGCCCCGCTCCCGGAGCCAGAGCACGGTCAGTGCTGGCAGCAGCATGACTTCCGCCACCACCCCCAATGTCTACTCCCTGTGCGGGGCCACACCATCGCAGAGTGACACGAGCAGTGTCAAGTCAGAGTACACGGACCCCTGGGGTTACTACATTGACTACACAGGCATGCAGGAAGATCTGGGGAACCCAGCAGGGGGCTGTTCAACCAGCAGCGGGGTGCCCACTGGGAACGGGCCAGTCCGCCATGTCCAAGAAGGGTCCAGAGCCACAATGCCTCAAGTGCCCAGTGGTTCAGTCAAACCAAAGATCATGTCACCAGAGAAGTCCCACAGAGTCATTTCTCCATCCAGTGGGTATTCCAGCCAGTCGAATACACCCACAGCACTCACCCCTGTGCCTGTGTTTTTAAAATCAATGTCACCAGCAAATGGGAAGGGGAAGCCCAAGCCCAGGGTACCAGAAAGGAAGTCCTCTCTGATATCTTCAGTATCCATTTCCTCGTCGTCCACTTCTCTTTCCTCTAATACTTCTACTGAAGGAAGTGGCACTATGAAGAAACTGGATCCTGCCGTGGGCTCTCCCCTGGCTCCTCCTCCTCCTGTTCCCTCTCCTCCATCCCCTTGTCCTGCAGACAGGTCTCCTTTCCTTCCTCCCCCACCTCCTGTCACAGATTGCTCCCAGGGCTCTCCTCTGCCTCACTCTCCTGTGTTCCCCCCTCCGCCGCCAGAAGCTCTCACTCCTCTCTGCTCCCCGCCTGATTGGTGCCTTTCTTCCCCGCCCACTGCACTGAGCCCGCTTCTTCCAGATTCACCTGTGTCCTTGCCATTGCCCCCACCTCTCTCACTTTTCTCGGAGCCCCCACCCGCCCCACCTCTTGACCCCAAATTCATGAAAGACACCAGGCCGCCTTTCACAAATTCTGGCCAGCCAGAATCCTCCCGGGAATCCTTGAGGCCGCCTTCTACCAAGGAGGAGACCAGCAGGCCCCCCATGCCCCTGATAACCACGGAAGCATTGCAGATGGTGCAGTTGAGGCCGGTGAGAAAGAACTCAGGCACCGAGGCAGCACTGTTGTCTGAACGAACAGCTCAGGAACAACGAACTCCAGTTGCTCCACAGTACCACTTAAAGCCATCTGCTCTCCTGAAATCCCGAAATAGCACAAATGAAATGGAGAGTGAAAGCCAGCCTGCCTCTGTGACAAGCTCGCTTCCGAAGCCTGCCAAGAACTCGAGTCAGGGTGACCATGGCAGTGCGGCCGAGCGCGGCGGCCCTGTGAGCCGCAGCCCTGGAGCTTTGAGCGCTGGGGAGGCAGAGGCTCGGCCCAGTCCCAGCACCACCCCACTCCCAGACTCTTCACCCAGCAGGAAGCCACCCCCCATTTCCAAGAAGCCCAAACTGTTCCTGGTGGTACCACCTCCGCAGAAAGATTTTGCAGTGGAGCCCGCAGAGAACGTGAACGAAGCCCTTCGAGCCGCGCCCAGCCCCACGAGGGGAGAGGAGGGCTCTGTGCACAGCAGAGAGGCAAAAGAGAGTTCTACAGTCCAAGCTGGCTCTCATGCCACGCACCCTGGCACTTCGGTTCTTGAGGGAGGAGCTGCAGGATCCGTGTCTCCCAGCAGAGTGGAAGCCAATGTCCTCATGGTTCAGCCCGATGTCTCACCAGCCCCCAAGCAGGAGGAGCCAGCTGAGAACAGTGCGGATGCTGGGGGCGATAGGGAGAGCTGCCTATCTCAACAGGACGGAGCAGGTGAGTCTGGCTTCCTGGCTTCTCTCTCCTGTGCCCTCTGCCCATATGCAGCTGAACAGATAGGGTTGTTGAATGCTTACACGTGGAAAGAACCCAGGTAGATCAGATTGGTGTTAAAGCTAGCAGTATGTAGGCTTCCTGTGCAAAAACACAGATTAAGTTACCAGCTTTGCATTTTGTTATTATTTTTAAAATGTAGACCTAAAGGCATGCAGAAAATAGGGGGATGGAGATGATCTGCAGCAGGCTGGGTATTAAATAGCAATGGGTAACACCTCCCTTCCAAAGAGCCACAAAGAAACGTTGCAACAAAATTTAAGAGAGATGCCGTGGGCGTTCTATACTTTAACAAAGAATGAGCTGTGGCTCTCACACTAGTGTCATTTCCTCCCTTCTTTGTGAACTATCAAACTACAGACCTATGGCATCTCCCTGCGGTTCTCACATTGTCAGGAATGGCAGGGAAGCAGCATATTTAGAAGCTTGGCTGAGGACTGAAATTCTAGTCACTTGTGCATCTTGTGGGCCTGCCTGCCTGCTTTTCCGTAGCTGGGGTGCCGGAGACCACCGCAGCCAGTTCATCCTCAGAGGCCTGTGACTTCGGCAGTGATGAGGTGATGACCCCTAGTCGACCCAGGACCACAGAAGACCTTTTTGCAGCTATTCACAGGTATTTCAAACGCCTTCCTTTGACTTTAATCTACTGTGTAATTCCTTCTTTCCAAGCAGCACCTCAATTTACTTATCTTCCCCAAGGTTTCTTCTGTCACCCAATCATGACTCCTTAACTTTACTGTTGATTTTTATAGTTTTATTTCCTCTGACTCCAATTTCTGTTTTACTTTGTTTCACTGATTTTTATGACATTGGGGACAGAGGCGCAATGTGATACCTTCTGGTAGGCGCTGCTCTTCCTGGCAAGGGGTGTAGTGTGGCAGTCATAAGACAGAGTATATTAGCAAGAGTCGGATTAAAGCGGCTGACAGTGCAGTCAGGAGGAGGAATGCTGTGTTCTGTGGACTTAGGATGCACAGACTAGCTCCATGGGACTCTCTTCCTGAAGATCTTTTAGTTTATTCTAATTTTTTTTTCGTTTTACAGAAAAACCACAATTATACAGTGCAATTTCTTTGGCTGCTTAAATATTTCTATAAAAGGGTACGTCCCTTTCAGCGGGAGCAAAAGAATGATTTGTGCTGGTTACTGTATACCACTAGTGCCATCTACTGGCATCAGAAATCGTTGGGGTTAAAAACAAACAAACAAAAAAAGGGTAAAATTTTCAAAGTAATGGCCTGAACTGTTTGTACTTTTTATATGTGGTCACCTTTAAGGGTAAATATGATTTAGCACTAAAGTTTTACTTATTGCATCATTTTTCTGATTGTAAACAGCTGAGTACTCCCACAACAGTGTCATTGTAAAAACTGATGACTGTATATGTGCAAGTACGTTAAGCCGTAATGCTGTATAAACCTTTTGCTTCCTTCTAGACTTCTATACTACGGTATTTCCAGGTAACTCTAATGAATGTCCTTATGCTGCTAAGGCCTTATTTTGCCCTGAATGAAGATCTTTTTTTTTTTTTTTAAGCCTCCTGAAACAAAGCATCCTATAGAATCATTTGATTCTGTGTGTGAATGATCTTATGTCAGCACTGCTTTCCCAATTCTTGGACTCTCCCTGAAAAGGCTATTGCATAAGATGAAAAACATAGTGCTGTACCTACCTGAAGCTCTTCATGTAACACATAAACATCTAACTTGGTGCAGGGGGAACGAAGCAGGTGAATTCATGTGCTCCTCAAGAATCATGCTCTTCACATCGCTCCTCTAGTGTTGGTATAATAGATCCTAAAGACTACCTGCTTTAACATGGACTGGTTTCTTTAATCTCATTAGAAGTAAAAAGGTAGCTAGTTATCCAATTATTTCTCAAAACAGAGAAATGATAAATGATGCATCCTTTGAAACTTTAGTGGCAATTCTAGAAGTTCCCACAGATGTTTCTAACTCTTAACCACGCTGGACACATAAGAAGCACTCAATAAATATTTCCTGAATTAAATGAAACCAACTGGTATTTAACCACTAGAAGATTCTTCCGAGACTCAAAGTATTTACATTTAGTATGGAATGCACTGGGTTGCTAAATATACAGGCATATCTATCTATTTATGATAGCCATCCACAGAGAAGATTGCATTTCCTGGTTGTTCTGTGTACTAAATACTTGGTTCCAGTGAGGAAACCCAACTGTTGTAGGTCCAAATTACTGCATATTTTTTTCCCAAAAATATGCCAAAAGCCTCTTCTATATTTTGGCAACCTTCTTAAGGCACTGAAAAATGTGTGGTTTCTCTTACTAGGGCGTTACGTCGACTGCAGATGTAGAAATCGGTCAGTTCGTATTATTCAGTGCACGTATGAGAGAAGTAAAAGCCAAGTAGGCCTTAGGAATGGATTGCAGAGAGAGAGCGAGGACACATGCTAATCTCTGTTGTAGCGTTGAGAATAAATTAGCAGACATAGTAAAAATCCATCTACTGTATGTGCTTTTTTAGGCTTTATTTTTATGTCCTTCAGCGCTTAAGCTCATAATTTAAAATAAAGAGTATCTAAGTTGGAACACAGCTTCCAAGTTTTATAATGCAAATTAATTCACTTCAGATTTAAAGCCAGATGGAAAATGTAGAACACCAGTTGAGGTGTGAAGTTTTTATATTTATTGAAGTAATTAGTTTTTAAATCAGTGTTAACTGTTTAAGCACTTTTTATAGCCGTCTTCCTTAAAAATACATATTTTTGTGTGTGTGTGTGTATGTATAGGCAAAGAATTTGTACGTTTAGATTTAATTATTTTAGTGGGCACCTGCTCTTGAGAGATGACAGTGCTTTCATAAAATCCCATCTTTCTTCCTTTTTTTTTTTTCTTTTTTGATACAGAGTCCAATTCACTCTGTCACTCAGGCCGGAGTGCAGTGGCACGATCTTGGCTTACTGCAACCTCTGCCTCCCAGATTTGAATGATTCTCTTGCCTCAGCATGCCGAGTAGCTGGGATTATAGGCGTGTGCCACCATGCCCGGCTAATTTTTGTATTTGTAGTAGAGACATGGTTTCACCATGTTGCTCAGGCTGGTCACCCCATCTTCTTTCTTAATTCTGTGTCTACAATTAAAGGTCATAGTTTTAATCAAGTTTAGTTGTGACTTGTTTAATGGATCTCAGCATACCCTCACCATTTAAAAACTAAATTAATTAAATCACTAGGCAATACCTAAAAGAATGAAATGAGCAGAGCTGCTTTGGGGAGTAGACCATGTAAGTGGTGAGGCCATGTGCTGTAAGCTCAAGTCCTAGCTGTCATACTAGCAAGTTACTTTTTCTCAGTTACCTTTTCTGAAACCCAAAGTAGTTGGACCAGACCATTTCTAACGTCTTTTCTAGCTCTACAATTTTGAGATGTTAGGATGTCTGTAGTTTTGTCAGCCGGTCTTAACTCTTATCAGGACACTGCTCTTGTTGACTACTGAGCGGGACCATGAAACCTGTACCATAGGTCGTGTTCTGAGGTCCCAAAGAGTCTGGTGCCCTGTCCACTCTGGCCACCCTTCAGACTCTGTATTGGATCCTTACCATTTCCCAACTTCTGCTTTAGTGGCATCTTTTTGACCAGAAGAATGGAGATGACCCCAGGAACACCAAGCCCAGGGCAGCCAGCATGGGCCCATCTTGCCCTCAGTCTTGCTTTGTGAGCCACGTAAAAACAAAATCCGTTTTCTATGTGACATTCAAAGGTTTGTTAAGCACCTGCTCTATGCCTGACCAATTATGGCTATTACTGCATTCACGTGTACTGACAAACTGTGACCTATATACTGTTATTCCCCTTTTTGTGATAGGAAAAATACACAGTCAGAAATGTTAACTTGTCCAAGGCGACGGAACAAGGAAGCTTTAGCAGTGGGAGCCACGTAGCTTCTTTATTTCACTTAATCTTCACAAACCTGTGAAGTTGGTATCTTATAAGTGAGGAGGCACAGCACACATGGGTAATTTGTCCCAGGTCACACAGCGAGAGGTGGGAAGAGTCTGGTTTCAACTCTTAATCTGTATGTACAGAATCATACTCTCAACCTTTCCCTGCTACATGTTCTACAATTTTTTAGCAGGAAAAGAGATATACCCACGTCTTTATTCTGTTAACTGTGTCGAGTTTCCTTAAAGCAAGTTGTCCTGCACTTAGCTAAGAGACACACACTGAGTTGTTGTCGTGAAGAGACCAGCAAGGGGCCACTTGGTTCATTGGCTTTATCATCTCTTTGTCACTGTCAGTGGAAAGCACATTGAACAGTGAGGTTCTTAGAGACTCAGGACAAGAAATATCGACAGGAAACCTTCAACTTTCTTTGATTGCCGCTTCGTCTTCCCCACCCCACCCCTCACATTTTCTTGATCAGTGCAAGCTTTGCTGAGTCAGTCATGAAGCAAGGTCTGGCACAGAGGTTTCACCTTTGTTTTCTGGAAGGCTGGATTTTAGAAGTTGGCACATGGTCCTGGAAGAGCTGAGGAAGACTGGTCTAATGGCAACTTCTAAAATAACTGAGAGTGTGAAGCTCAGGAGTTGTTCTCGGACCTGGAGTAGGGTACATCTTAGTACAGGGGATATTCTGGCATGGAACAAGAAAAGGAAGCGTAGAAAGAAAGGAGGGTCAGCATGTGAAATTCACTCCAGATCAGCCCATCTAGGAGAGATCAAGGAAAACTGGCCATTATTAAAACTTTTAGTCCTATCCAAAGTAAGTTAATACAGTGTCTAAGATTTGTTTCAAATAGGGACGGTGGAGACAAAAGAAGGGTGACCCTAATTCATGATTATCATAGGTGTGTTATGGGCTCATGTGGTCTTGCAATGAGCTGTTCTTTTTTTGGTGGGTGTTTGAAATTTTCCAAAGTTAAAAATAAATTATTTGCAGGGCACAGTGGCTCACGCCTGTAATCCCAGCACTTTGGGAGGCTGAGGCAGGCAGATTACCTGAGGTCGGGACTTCGAGACCAGCCTGGCCATCATGGCAAAATCCCATCTCTACTAAAAATACAAAAATTAACTGGGTGTGGTGGTGGGCACCTGTAATCCCAGCTACTCAGAAGGCTGAGGCAGGAGAATCGCTTGAACCTGGGAGGCGGAGGTTGCAGTGAGCTGAGATTGTGCCATTGCACTCCAGCCTGGGCAACAGAGCAGGACTCTGTCTTAAATAAATAAATAATTATGCATTTATTAATTTTTCTTTCTTTCTTTTCTTTTTTTTTTTTTTTTTTTGAATAGAGGTAAGGTCTTACTGTGTTGCCCAGGCTGGTCTTGAACTCCTAAGCTCAGGTGATCCTCCCACCTTGGCCTCCCAAAATGCTGGGATAACAGGTGTGAGCCACTGTGCCCAGTGAAAAATAAATTTTTTGAAAGTGAATCTGAAGTAGATGGTGACCTGAAGATGCAATAAGAGAAGCAGAGTGGTTGTGGCTGACAGTCTGTGTTCCCATGGGAAATAACCTTTTTCTTAATGTTATTAAATCTCAGATCCAAAAGGAAAGTCCTCGGCCGTAGAGATTCAGATGATGACCACTCCCGAAACCATTCTCCCTCCCCGCCCGTGACACCCACCGGCGCTGCCCCGAGCCTGGCCTCTCCAAAGCAAGTGGGATCGATTCAGAGAAGCATCCGAAAGAGCAGCACCAGCAGTGACAACTTCAAAGCTCTGCTGCTAAAAAAGGGCAGTCGTTCAGACACCAGCGCCCGCATGTCTGCAGCAGAAATGCTCAAGAACACAGACCCTAGATTCCAGAGGTCAAGGTCAGAACCTTCACCAGATGCCCCCGAGAGCCCGTCAAGCTGTTCCCCAAGCAAAAACAGAAGGGCGCAGGAGGAGTGGGCCAAGAATGAAGGCTTGATGCCTCGGAGTCTGTCCTTTTCCGGCCCCAGATACGGCCGCAGCCGAACACCGCCTTGTGCCGCCAGCAGCAGGTACAGCATGCGGAACCGGATCCAGAGCAGCCCCATGACCGTCATCTCGGAGGGAGAAGGGGAGGCCGTGGAGCCTGTGGACAGCGTAGCCCGCGGGGTTCTGGGCGCTGCGGAGGGATGTTCCCTGGATGGACTAGCGAGGGAGGAAATGGACGAGGGCAGCCTGCTCTGTGGGGAGGGGCCTGCCGCCTCTCTGCAGCCCCAGGCCCCTGGCCCCGTGGATGGGACAGCCAGTGCAGAGGGCAGAGAGCCCTCCCCGCAGTGTGGCGGTTCTCTGAGTGAGGAGAGTTAGGGCCAAGAACATAACTCTCCCAGGTGACACGGGGGGAGATGAGCAATGCAGCACTCTAGGAAGCCTGCTAGGCGCCCTTCCCTGGCTCACCCGGGGATCCCACGCTGTTTCTGTGCTATGGGCCCGGGGTTGCCAGCCCTGCAGTGTGAGTGAAGGGTTATTTAGGACTCACTTGGCACTTGCCCTGTGGCTTAAGAACAAGTAGAAGCTTAAACTTCTGAAAGTGCTTCCTGGGGAAGATCTTTTTTTTTTTTTTTTTTGCTGAATGCTGGGTGTGTGTGTGCATTTTCAACACATCTTAATTTTTTAAAAATACATGTATACACAAACAACATGTACAGAAATAGAGGAAAGCAAGCCAGAGTTAAGCTTGATAGAGTAACGGAGTTACTCTGGACTGGATGGTAATTGCTTTCAGAGCATTACGTTTGTGGAAATCAGCGAGTTCCGTAAGAAAGGAGAAGATGTTACTTCTAAGAAAGAGGCAGTAGAGTTGCTGGATCTTAATGCACAGAACACACAGATATATGCACACGTGTGCTGCTGAGGTGAGGCAGGTCTGGTGAGCACAGAGAGGCTGGGAAGGGGCTAAGTGACTAATTGGTTCAGGTACTTTTTTCTAGGGGAGGTAGACTTTGCTTCTTTTTTGTAAAAATGACAAACATGTAGAAGTGGCAACGCTGTAACCTGGTGCCTGCTGCTGTGCAGCCACATACACACAATTGTAGCCTGATTTTTAGAAGTGTGGGTAATTTTTTAATGAATTTCCTCCTTGAGTAGCAGCTGAGGTCATTGACAACTGAAGTGACGGTGTGGACATACAGAGAGGGGAAGGGTTTTTAGAGGAGTAAGTGATACACTGCTGGAGTTTGTTTTCTGCCTATGAAATAAAATTATTTTTCAGAATTAAATTTGAAAACTTGCACTACAGAACTATGGGTGGGGCTTTTCCTTTTACAACAGTTTTGTTGTTGTTTTTAACCAGAGTTTAAACTTCCATTAGGCAATTTCCTGTCACTTGAAATGTCAACATCTGCTAACTTTTGGATATCCTTTTGGTTATACCAAAGAAAAAGTTATGGCTATTTTTTTTTTCCTTGAACTGCCTACAGTATCATGTCCTAATTCAGAAAGATTTATCAAAATCTATTATATATTATCTTACTTTGAAGAAAATGCTGAATAGCTCTTGTTAGTCAAATAAACTGATAAAAATTGGTAGGGCCTGGCTATCAATTAGCCCTGGGAAATGAATTTTTAGATTAAAAAGGTTTTTTTGCATCATTTGGTTTGTGCGTTTTTATATTTGTTTATAAATAATTGAGTTGCTAATTATCTTATAATCTTCTCCAGTCAGATTTTCAACAGTTTTAGACATGGGACACAAGTGTGCCAAGTCTTTATTTTAATGTAATAATCTCATTACCCCCACCCTTACTCCCTTAACTTCCATGTACTTAGACTTCATTTGTTAAATAAGCCAGAGGATTGTCGTCTTCATTAGAAGGACCTAGGATGATAATGTGGAGACTGTTGGTCTGAATCTAGTGCAACTACCACCTGCCAGCTTTTGGGGGGTATGAAAGTATCTAAAAGTTGGACTGCACGGGTCAAGTCATTATGAGACTTATAAACTAAAACTTTAGATTCCCATTTAGAAATGTCTTGGAGGCAAAAACAAACCTAAAGAATGAAGACTCTCTCCCTTCTCTGAAAAAAAACAAAACACTGCTCTTCACACAACCAGAAATCAAGACCAGAGATTTAGAGCAATTGTCTACTAATTTGGCACAAAGATCGTTTGTTCTTTAGAAAACTGGCGTTGGCTTTTGAATATGAAATCTTCTCATAGCTGCCTAAAAAAGACTAGAATGTATATGGATATCAGAAACCTTTAATACATAATTTATGCAAAGATAAACGCAACATAACACTAATTATAAAACTATTTTTAGATCCCCATTTTTAATGAAAAATACACATTTGTATTTAATTTGCTTTGAATAAAATAATTGTAAAGTAAATATCTGAAACATTTCTTTTTGTTTATACATGTATTTTTTTGAATAATGAGATAGGTCTTCTTGTACAGAATTGCTGAGTGTTTTGCTGGATACAAACAGAAAAGCAGTGAGACCAGAAGGTCTCTGGGGGAGGTGAGGACCCAACAGAGAGGAGGTGGAACATCATAGACACTGGATGGCGCCATCTACCAGGGCACATGGAAAAACAACTCCACATCGTGTCCTCTGGACTTTGGAATAAAGTACGAATAACCTATCGCCTGGCGGTTCAGATGACATGGCATGTGGAGAGATGTGACAACTTCTCACAGGCATGGATGAAATACAGGGAGAGAAGAATCGAGATTCATCCCTGAAACATGGCACCTTCCGCATGGCTACTCCACTCCATGGGGCCCGCTTCTGTTACGGACCATATCCTATTCAAAACTCCACAGGGGTAGATCTGATGGCTCTCATATCCTGATACTTTAAGTTCCAGATAATCATAGACAGAAGCCCTAGCCCTAAATTATTTCCACTTTATTTTTACTATCAGTGGGGGAGAGAAACAAATGACTGTTTGGTCTGTCAGTTGAAAACAACCTCAATGTGATCTGCTTTCTGCCATCATACTATTTCTGAAGAATCTTGATTGAACTCTTGCTTTTCCTGTGGGGTTGACAGTATATTCCGTAGGAGAATCACAGTGAAAAGGAGATGTTTCTGTGTCTCCATATTTCTCCCCACCCATCAGGGCAGCATCTTAGGAGGAGAGGGGAAAGCGTGGCTTTCTTGGTTCTGCCGTAGTAGGGGTTCAGCCTGCATGTCATGCTGATTCCATCATCAAATGAGCACAGCAGATTTGATGTAATTTGCTTTGGCAGATGTGAGGATATTGTTGGGGGAACGGAGGGTCATTTGAATGAAATATGGACCTGATTCTTGCGCCACTTTCCTTAATAAGCCATTCGGTAACTGTGATAGTTTCTCTCAGTTGCCTGCTCTGACCTACCTTCCACAGCGGCCAGCCTTTACTCACAGAACAAGGAGTAGAGCAATCTGTAGTCATTTGTTCAGCAATGGAAAAAGAAGTCCTAATAAATGCTTCTCATGTGCTAAGTAAAGACAAGGAGGCCCAAAGATAGAAAATGTGGTTGAGCTATCAGTTAGGGGCATGATCCCACTGCCAGTTTAGATTCATCAACAAGTAGACACTGAGATAGTTAGAATACCAAAGGTTTTATTATTGGAGTAAGCACCTTTGAAAGGAAAAGAGGAAGCAGGACGAGGCAGGGAGAGCAGGCGATCCGCTATCCCAGGGAAGCTCTGGGAAAAAGGTCACTCATTGGAGGAGTCCTGTGTTGGACTGAAACAGCTAGGTCCTGGTACCACCGCCTTGCTTGGTCTTTGGCAAGAGCCCCCCCAGAGAAAAGCATGCTCTCAATTTCCATAATTTAGTGAAATCACTGGCCACCAACCCCTCCTGTCTTGAGAATAGTGTCACTTCAGCTTGAAAGCTAAGGTGGATCCTGGTGAAGTAGCAGCTGGTGGCTGCCAGCTACCCACACTCCTTGCAGCTGGATGGCACGTCTTGTCTTAAAGGGGGATCTCAATGGCATCTCCCCATGCCTGCCACGGTCCACCCCTTGCCTCTGTGGATCCATTTCCCCAAAAACACGCAGAGAGTGACTGTTCCAGTCTCTTCCTGAGGATAAATGTTGAAAGAGGAGTTTGGTAGGACCAACTAGAGCACCTTCCTGCAAATGGTTTTGGAACCACAACTGGTCCTCATTACTCCCTGCTTTCATTCTAAATTCCCCTCACCCTCAACTGTCATCTTTGCTGGTCTTGGTGGCTTTTTTGATAGTATAAACCAAGCTCTCATTCCTGAGGGTCCTGAGCTCCTGGGAGCCAAACCCTTCTCAGACCAGGGTTGCTGCACTAGTTCATTCAGTTACAGCTGGGTGAGGAGTACAGAGGGTGCCTCCAGTGGATCTGCTAAGTTCCACACACACTGCTCTTGCCCCCATCCTCTGACAGCAGGCTTACCTACTCTTGCAGTTCATGCTAAATTACCCTTGACTAGATGGTGACTTCTTGCCTACTGGTCCCTGAACACAAAGAGTCCAAAGTGCCCACATAGTAGCAGCAGACTGTAGTTCAATGGAATTCTTGCAATATTGCCTAGAGAAGGTATACACTCTCTGAGAACTAGGACTTCTGATGCTGTAGAACCCAGAGTTTCGGGCGTGGGAAGTACTAAGTCCCTCAATGGTTCATTGGGTGTGATGGTAAGTGGGGTCACTCCTGCCTCCACTCCTTGGTTCTGAAATCTATATATTCCTGTCGTAGACACAACATCATACAGGCTTTCTGATTCAATAAGTATACCGTGTGCAGGAGATGGTGGCACATCTTGGCAGGGTATTGTCTCCCACCTGGCGCTAAAGCAGGCAATGTCAACGTTCCATCAGGCCAGCAGCTTCTAGGTGGTGCAGTATGTGATAGGAGACGTGGATCCTATGGCCAGTGGCGAACTCTCCCGGATTGGGTGTTAACATGTATAGATCACGTATTCAGCAAGTCCATGTTGACAGATCAGATGTTTTTATAAGTCCCTAGATTGTGTTCAGGACCCTGTAGGCCCAAAAGGAACCACATACCTAGAATAGGAAGTCTGTCCTTGTGTGAGTAAACTGCCGGTGCTTCTAGGAAAGAATGAACCCACCATAGTGAATTTGCTATCAAGTGACGAGTTGGTCCTCACAGCCTCATCGGGGTCTCAGTATTGGTATCTAATGCTGGCAGGTTGGATAGTGAGAGTGAGCAGTGTCTAAGTTGGCCTTGGTAAGTGGGAGTGCATGTTGCTGGGTTCCATGCATAGCCTCCATCTTTGCCACCACTGCCACTTTGTGTACGCATTTTACCAGCACTGAGGTGGGCACTGGCAAAAGCTAATACAACAGGCTAAGTCATTTCGTCTACTTGGTTGTTTAGTGCCTCTTCTGTGGTGGGTGCTATCTGGTGGGCATTAACATGTCATACAGTTTTTCAAGTTCTGTGTCCATTCAATATGCCAATCCACATGCCTCTACCCCAGACCTCCTAATCATCCATGTTTTTTCCTCCCAAACTCCTAATCAGCTGGCAGGCCATTTTCTGCTATTTCCATAAATATTTTACCTGTCCTCCCTCACAAAGTGAATGATCCAGTGTACCTCAAAAAATTCTGCCTGGTTTTTACAGTAAGATTGCAATTTTTTTCCCATTTTTCAATGTCACCTTTGAGTGAGGGTCCATTTTCAGCTTGCAACTACAGAATAAGATGACTAATCAATAAACCAAGCCCATGCATTCCTCTTCCTTCAGTGGATTATACAGGTCCTCCAACAACCACAGGGAGGGGTGATGTAGGTGCCACTGTTCAGACATGGTGGTTGGGATCATTGCTCTTGCAGTTTGCTTATGTCCTCCAGTCCAGCTTGGAACTGCTCCTGTATATATCATTTCCATCTTCCAATGGACGGTGGTTGATCCTACTAGCTTATGATTTGGTGCTTCCCACAGGACCCAGTTAAGATGGGCAATTCCGGACACAGCATCACTGGGTCTCAAAGTTCCGCCTCTACGAGGGCCCAGTAGCACAGCAGAGGCTGTTTTACAAAAAGCATATGATTCTCTCCTGCAGTTAGAACCACCTTGCTTCAGGGCCCCAGGGACCTGCACTGTGATTCTCTCACTGGGCCTTGTCATCTGTTCACACTGCATCTTCTTTCCCCTACCTCCAGTACGTAAGATCTGCCACATCACATAATTTAAGCTGCTAATTTCTTCATATGTGTCACTTCTGGGTCTACTTCTAATGATTACTCTCTTTTTTTCCTAATTATGGGCCATAATTTATATTTCTCTTTGTTTCCAGTACTTTTTTTTACTGGATGTTGGGAATTATGAGTGTTATGTTGTTTGTTGGTGGATTTTGTTATATTCCTGTAAATGGTATTGGGCTTTATTCTGAGTCACAGTTAAGTTTCTTGAAATTAGTTTGATCCTTCCAAGGCTTGCCTTTAAGTCAAGGGGAAGTCCAAAGAAGCCTTTGGTCTAGGAATAATTTGACCTCAAAACTAAGGCAACACCCTTTGGAGGACTTCACCTGATGACCCATGCATTATGAGTTATTTCTACCATGGCTAATGGAAACCCAAACTTTTCGCAGCCCTGTAGATGATCTGTAAATTATTTACTCTACTACTTTCCAGTTACTCATTTCTTGGCTTAGGTAGTTTCTTCTTACACCTTCACTCAACCAAGGACTCTAGGGGACCCACTGCAGATCTACAGCACTGTGTATGTGTGCTGCTTCCTTCTCTCCTCTCACTTACTCACCTTGGCCTCCAGTAACACTGATCTCCATCTCTTCAACACAATAGGACCACTGGTCTCTGGCTTCCCCCTCCCTGCTTTGCTGCCTAGAAACTGCCTCCAGGCCATTAGCTTGAGCAATCACTGGACTCACCTCATTATTCCCCCTTCTCTCAGAGATCACAGTCCTGTACTATGAACTTTCAGTGTCTGAAAACCATTGTTTCATATATTTTGTCTGCGTTTTCAGTTGTTTAAGAGGGACGGGTAAATTGGGTTCCCATTTCATCATGGCCAAAAGCAGATGTTCACCTGAGGTGCTTAAAAAACACTGTTCAAAGCAATATTGATCATGGTTTACTGCCCTGATTGGAGGAGATGGAGTTTAGAAGCTTATACTCTTTCCCCACAGGTCAAGGAACAAATGTAGGGGTTATGCTGCCTGCCAAGGATGTCAGTCTCAATTATACATTCAGGAATTAGGCAGATAACCAATCAGATAACCTGCAGGCCCAGGAGATCTGCTGTAAGCCAAACTTTGATTAGAACTACATTTACTTTCTAACCTCTGTATGCTCCCATTTTAATGGGAAGAGGAGGAACTGTAATGACACTTTGGGTTAGTGGGTATCAGATGTTAACTTGGACCCTGACGT